GCAATTTGCTCTTTTACATTACCTTAATTATTGTCTCACAAATCAACTGGACGTAATATTGAATACAAATTAAATAAGTTTGAGACACGTAGTTGATTTATCATACTATTCTAAGTCAAAAGGTGTAATTAGCTTATGCTTCACAAATTGTTTAGATGAAAAAATAAATTTCATCAATTTATTCAGCAAATCGAGATTATCCGCAAAATAATATACAAATTTTTCTTTTCAGAAGAGAATGCTTGACCAGCCTTTAATGAAAAATATAATGTCTTATACTGAAATAGGTCACAATGATTCGCTTATTGAGTCCCGTTTATTTTCTTACAGCAAAATGACAGGTAATTAATTAGATCTCTACAAATCAATATTGAACAATATATTTCTTTCGTTTGACTTTATTAAATGCCGATTATATCTACTTGTCATTGTTAAATTATAAAACAGACATTTGAAAACAATGTAAACGCATTCATTGAAACATTAAACTTGAATACTAGAATTGTTTTAAAAGAAAAGATATATGTCAATATCCCCTTTTCGTGTATAAGTTTCTATATTTTAAATCCGTACCAGTGTAAAATTGTATTCTTACCAGTGTAAAATTGTATTCTAAATGGATATTTCTTTTAAAATGAAACTTTCTCTAGGGATTCTGTTTTTCTCTATTTCATTTTATCATCATTAAATCTCGCGTATAATTAGATTAGGGATCAAAGGTAATTGGCAATGTGAGTTTAAAGGATTTTCAAAGGATTAACTTGGACTGGCAGTGTTTATATCTTCTTGAAAGTTTTTCTTCAAAGAATAAGGTTCGTTTTGTTATCAACAACTAATTTCTTAAATTTTTCGACATTTAATCTGACCCGGTTTTCTCAATGCATCGTCTACTTCTAAAATTAGAAACTGGGTTTCCCGCTGTTACCCAGCTGAACTTTATTTTTACTATGCCGAACACATTTTGTATATCCCGTGGACGATTTGTGTACATGAAATGTCGAAACATATAAGAAATTAGTGCAAATAACTGAATGTGCCTAACTATCGACGTTTTGCATTAAATGAAAGTTGACAGTTGCCTTACCTGTGCCAGGTGTTTGCATGCACTGTTTTCATAATAAATAGATCGATTAATGTTCAAAATTGTCTTTTTTACTTTTCGGTCAAGCTATGCCCGACCAAGACAAGGTTTAAAATTCGATCTTTTTGTATAAACTGGTATAATATTGTACATGTTTGGAAATAGAAATAATTTCTGAGTCGACTGCTCTTTATTTGGTAAAATTGGTTGAAAATTAACTTAAAATGAGGCCGGATGAAAGTTCCGCCTGTGAACCTTTCTACATTGTCTTCGTTTATAGTATATATTGGTAAAATTATAAGAACCACGCACAGAATGCCTGTGCATTTGCATAAATATATATATGCAAATACCCAGAATTTTCTGATCTGTCACATTTTCAAGACCATTTTCATTTATCATACGAAACAATTTTCACATTGTTTTTACTTTGGTCTTGTTTCTATCACAATACATTTTGAGTTTTCAGGATTTAAGGCCACATTGTTTACTTTGCACCATTTGTTTATGTCATTTAAATGGTGTTGACTTTTAAATTTTATTTTTGATATACTTTCTCCAGAATAATTGAGAGTATCTATGAGTGTAGTATTACAAGAATGATTTTTTTGCGAAAGCCTGATTGTGTGTTATGAATAATGTTTGTATTTTCAAAGTATGATTGTATTTGTTTAGCAATAATGAAGTTAAATATCATAGATATAGTTGATGAAATTAAAATCATTCGATTGTTGTTTGCTTCATTCTTATATCCCAATTAAAAAAGGTATAATTCTATCTTTTTTATGCATTTGGGAAAATAATAGCTGTAATACTATAATTAACAATTGATTCAGTCAATGGTATAATATAACCTCTAAAATGTTTAATAATATTCCGTCCAATTTTATCTTATAGTTTGAATTTCTGCATTATACGAATTGAAACCTTAGAACACATGTTTTGGGAATGTATTGTAGTAAAACATTTATGGTATAAACTAGGTATTTATCTGGCTAAAACATATCACAATCAAGTTAAGTCTAGAGGTTGTCAGTTTTGGTATCACTGAAAAAACATAAAAACTCAGAATGTCATACATTTCACAAAATTCCTTTAGAAATATCGTATACTTTTCAAGTTAAGAATAGAAATCAGCAACTTGGTTTTGAACTTTTTAAAACATATCTAAATATAAGGATAATAACAAAAAACGAAAATTCATTATTTAGTGATAAACTATACCAACATAATGATAAATAGTCTGCATTTGAAAATTGCTAGTGTTAGATTGGCATAAGAAGTGTCATATCATCGGAAACGCCAAAGTAAAGTCACTATACGTGTAGATCAGATCGTTCTTTGTTATATTTTTAAAGTAAGAAATAGTCTAGCTCCAGATTACATGGAATAACATTTCATCTCACAGCACACTGTTCATTCCATCAAGATCATGTTAAGTAAAAAGAGTGCATTTGCAATCCCAATTTTCAAAGGTTTTGGTTCCAAGTCCTTCTGTTTTGTGACTTGTCCGTTGTTGAACAGTTTGCCGGCTGAATTATCTAGCATTGGCAGGTTTCCTTCCTTCAAAGGACCTGGTGGACAGTATGATTTTTTCAATACTTATTTATATGAGGGTTTAAATTTACATCAGTATGTTTTCGGAAAAGGAATGGGTTTAACTCATTTAGTGAATCATTTAACAAATTTAATATGCAATGATGCATTTCTTAAGTCTGTTAATAATTATTTTTAAATACTTATTCCTACATTTTATAGTTGCGTCTTGGTATCTTACCAAATATTTTAGGTTTAAAGTTACTTTGATATCATGAATTTTATTATTGAATAATAAGGCTGTTTTAAGGTAAAATATCTAATGCTTATTAATTTTATCACTTGCCATTCTGTTTCAACTTGAATAATGTGATACAATGCTGTAATTCTAGTCTATCTGTGTTAAGATAATTGAAATATGTGATAATTTTTAAATGAAAGTATTTATTTGCACTGGATAAAGGCTTTCTATGTCATACCACAAACACAGGGGACCACAGTATTTCTTTTTTGTGCTATCCTTGGTGCTGGTGTTCATGTCATGGCTCATTTATTCTTATGAATGTTTTAAATGTTTGTACCTTTCATGTTGTTTTAAATGTCCTTGTATCTGTATTCTATACCGAAATAAATCTTTCTATAAACGCAACCCATTATATTTTCAATTATCTATAACGTTTTTGGAAACGATGACATTGCCTCATTTTTTCATAAACAGCTTTTTCATCTGTCTTCTTATTTTTTTCTCATATATAAAACAAATTATTTTTTCTTCACAAAAAATTATATATAAAAAGAATAGTTTCTCCACGATTGTGGTGGCAGTACTTTATGTTTTTTGGAAGTATTATATATCAAAACATTTGTTGTGGAAAAAATCTATCACACTAGATGTGTAAGCACTGATCATATTGTTAACGTTAAACATGATTTGTAATAAAGTCTGACTGAACCTTTGTTGAGCGAATGGTGTCCTAGGCCTTGAATTCCTTCCAGTCTCTGTTCTGCAGTTTCATTGGATAGATAATGAATAAATTGAGTTTTTTTTATCAAACCGTTAGTATTTTTCACCTGACACCCACCGGCCGTTACAATATATTATTCGATCCCCGCTATTTCTTTACGGGTATACACCCCTTTTCTAATAAATTGTATCAAAGATTTTCTATTCAATATGAAACGCACAGTATTGTAATATATCATTAGGGATATGGATCATCTGTCCTATTGATGACATTTGTTGTGTAAATATTGTTAAATGAATACCCTTATATAGTATAAGTAAAATATAATAAGACCTATACTTGTCTGCATATGATTGACAAGTGGAAATAACACTGACGATCATATCTAAGAAGGAAAACCAAGAACTTTTTTTTTCCGTCCAGGCAAGAGATTTATTGGCTCGTAGTGTTGATCGATATCCACCATTTTGATTTAATATGGTAAAGTTATCGGATATTTACGTTACCTTCCATTACGTATAATAATTTACATCTTTTTATTTTTCTGTGTTCATTATGATTTACAAAGTAACTTTAGTCTACTCTTTTGATTCTTGTAACGAAATCAAAATAACATGACAGCGTGCGTATCCGTATATTTTCTCGTGTTTAAAATCCACAGGATAGACTTAACGTAAAAACACATCTTGCAATAAGTATTCATATAAATGTTTTGAGAAACACAAAACACTAATAATTACGAAAAAATAAAATCTTATTCTATCAATAAAGTAATTCAAACATCCCTAACTGCACGATGGACATTTACCGATTCAGCATACCTTGCAACAAACTGATTAATACGTCTCAAGAATAAACAATCAGACCGGTAAAGTACCAGGGGAAGCGTCTGGAATTAGGGTATTCTTCTGTATCTGAAATGTTCACTTTCCTCCAAAATCTAAAATGACTAATACTTTTACAGAGTACTCGCTATATGTGCAACCTTTGGCGAGTATAAATACAATAAAATAAAGTTAATAATTATAATAATTTCCCTTTTCAGTCTTATACATGTACATGCATAACATAACACATCTGCAGGAGCTAGATTAAATCGTTAGTTATGGCTAGTGGTCAAATCGCGGATTAACTATATATCTAAAAGGAGTCCGGATATTGACTTTTCAAAATATCATGTGCTAAACACTTTTAACCCTAAACGAAGATTCACGAGAGAAGTTATTGCCGTCGTAGCGCCACCTGGTATCAAATTATGACTGACTGTATTCGTTCATGACCCATTTATATAAGTGCTTGCGTTTTACACGCTTCTGTCAATAAACATTCAATACGATTTTGGAAAGGTAATTAGTTCGATATCAAACCAATTGTTCATTTAAATAGTCCTGATAGTCGGTGATATTGATTTATTTCAGACAATGATCACACATCCAGTTTATCATGGGGTTATTATTGCTGTTCTCTTAAGCCAAGCTTTTGCTTACACTAACTGTAACAACACTTACACTAACGGGATAGGAATAGAGGTAAGATGATATATCAATCACATTACATGTAGAAAGTTTGTTTTATAAACTGATAATATATTTGTTACAGTGTCTGCCATCTTACACAGGGGTTTGAACCCTTCTCCCTTTTGGCACCAAGACCAGTACTTTCAACAAAACATACGAATAAGTTTGAAACAAAGCGAGACTGTATGTGAACACTATTCAAGATCTAGTTAAGATAAATTCGATTAAACAACAGTAAAACTACACCTACCATTCGGTACGTTGCTATCAAAATATCGCGGAAAGTTATTTAAACGATATAAGTTTAAATCTGCAATATTTTAAAGAGTTGTATATCTCATATCTTTCCTTAATTAATAACATACATCCTTTTTGCTTTTACAATTTCCTTCAATATTTTAGTGTTTTCCTTGTGAACCTGGTTACACAGCAATAGAAGACTGTCCTGGGAATTATACTAGTACTAAATGTGAGCAGTGCCAGGATGGAACATATCAACCAGAATGTGTTACCTACAACAAAAGCGTTCGTTGTAGAAACTGTACAGTTTGTGATGTATATAAAGAAAACTGTACAGTATACAAAGACGCTGTTTGTGAGCTGCAGACTAGTAAACACGATAGTAGTGGTAATATATTATATATTAAATGTTTTAAGCTTTTCTGCTAAGCTGTTTTATGTCGAAGCTACTGACAAAAAAAATCTTACTGTATTTAACATAAATTATTAAATCTAAATATCGTTTGTAACTGAACAATGCAAAAGTTGTAAATTACTGACTCAAAAAGACTTTACACGTAGATACTTTTGATTAGTTACGTTGGATTTAAGAATTTTCTGTAAAAATGACTTTGCTAGTGAATGTATCCATTAAGCTAAGAGATCGAAATATCAAATTACTGTTAATATTTCTCCTTTTGATATATAATGTACAATTTTGTAATGTTTTCGGAGCAAGGTCATACCATGTAGTGCACATTTAAGGAACCTTTTCTCATAGTTATATTCTATGATGAAAAAACTGGGACAAATTCTGGGTTGAAATAAGTGAATCACAGAAGAGTAACTCGAAATATTTTTAATTGTCGTAAGGAAAAAAGAGTGGTAACGTTTTTTTTAACACGATTTAGAAAAATTACAGGAATAATAAATTAACAATTGTTTTCTATTTAACAGACGACAGCGGTGCTCAGTCAACTTTAGTTGTGGTGTTGATATTTATCAGTACAATCTTTGTTATCCTTATCATGAGCGCTGTTCTGGTAAAAATTCGCAACAGAAAGTAATTTGCATCATATAATTATTTGTAAATTGGTAAATTAAATAAACACTGATTGAAGTAAAAGTTAATTTTATTATAACAGTGCGTAATATGCCATAATTTTCATTGGCCTTTTTTAAAAAGAACTTAAAAATGCAAGAAGTATTACTATGGTAATAATCTTTATAATTGCAATAATGCCATCATCATCTGCAATGTAGTTGTTATTGCCATAACTTTCATTATCATAGTTATTGTTATATTTAATACATATAATATTATTAGAAAAATCTAAAACAATTGATATTATTTTCTTAGATATCGGAAAATTAAAGTTGGAATTGATTATGAAAGGTCAAGCGAACAAAGGAATGAGTATGAAGAAGAAATGATTATAAGTATGACATTCTTGAACAATCCTAAAAGTAAGACAATATCAGGTAAAAAACGAAATTAACTATTATTTAAAAATGTTTGTTTTTTGTTGATACAATGTAATGATTATTCATACACAGTAACAGAAAATATTTAATCATAAATGCATCCTTCATTCATACATTCACAAGTGCAGAAGCAGGAGGGCACATGCAAAGTCCAAACCCAATCGGCGAGGGATTTAATTAAGTCCAAGGCTTTTCTGCAGATTTTAATATACGCAAAAGGATATACAAACGGTCAAGTATTCGTCCGATTCGATAATTTCGTGTTTGTGATGTCCTTTCATAAAAAACAACTGGATTCGTAATGTCTGAATTGTCTTTGATCAATTTTAGTTAAATGTAGCATTTATTATAGCTGGATCCAGTATACATAAAGTTGATGGCAAAGATTTAGCACCGAAATCCAACAATATAGAAAGGCGCATTGCTGTCGTCAGTCCACATATTGAATCAAAGAGCAATGGTATGTCAAAATGTTTAGCTTTAGTTATGTTATAAGGTGTGAAGCACATCATTAAACCACATAAATTAGTTATGAAATTCAAATTAGACTTGCAGCACTCTGAAAAAAATGTCCATAAAACAGTCTCTTGTAATTAAAAAAAAAACAAAAAAGAATCAAAAGTCAAAACCAAATAAAACTATACGGAATTTTTTTAATTTAGATCAATATTGAATTATAAAAATTGCACTGATAATATAAAATTGAAATAATAAAGACCAAACTCTAACATCGGAAGGAATTAATATGAGTGCTATGCTTGTTTTCCAATCTATATTATAATGTGATTAGACAAAATACATGATTGTAAATTTGCTAAATATAACAACTAAACAGTCTCTCTCATAACCATACCATTATCTCACAGAAAATTGTTTAAACGCATAATGTCTCTTTTTCAATTGCATTATACATAGTAATTTAACTAGGTCTGTTATTTCAACTTGATATAATATGCTGATTCACGTTGTCTTTAAGACTGCAAAGAAGTTGAAAACACAGATTACATATTACTACATAGAACAAGAGAAAGTGTTCAAGTAACTGGAGACTCCGAGAATACACAAGGTAAAAAAGTCAATATTTCTCAAAGTATAAAAGGCAGTCTTTCTTCTCTTAAGACGTTAGAAATTAAATAAAATGTTGAAATATAGAGAAACTGAATATTTATTTTCAATCATTTTCCTTTGCATGTATAAATTAATTAAATAATAAAATATAATAAGTTAAACATAACAAAATAAACTTATCATAACCAAAATCTCATTATAATTAGCTAGCACAATAAACATTAACTGTTTAACCATTGAACTGTAAAAAGCTCAAGCATATTTTATGGCTATAGTAAATAAAAGAGAAAAAATAAAACAAAAATATTTTCACCAGAATAAGCAAAAAAACACTTGGATTTTTTTTCAAAACTAAACAGTTTTAGTATTTATCGTAAAATGATATATGTGTTCACTTTTCAATTTTCTTGTTTGCTAATTTTATTTCTTAAATCAAATTGTTAAAAGTTTTCCTTCGGTGTTACTGTTTCGTTTGATTTTTTCCCCAATTAAAGTGCTAGCACAACACCACCCAAACATAAAGTCGTCATTACAAAGATGTCTTCCGGAACTTATGTCGTTTCATCCATAAGGAAAGATTTTGTTATATTTTGAGCATACCACATGTCCGGTAGTTGCGTGAATTTACGTCCTACAATACAGACATTTTAAATTAGCTGCAACACATAAACTTCACTGTTCCGACAATGTATACATTATAACTATTAATGCAGAACGGTGGTATCCGTATCTATAAATATAAATATACTGAATATAAAAATATCTAGGTCTTATTTCTGCCTCGCATAGTAAACTATACTTATTCAGTTCTGTGCAAGCTATCGAAATTGACAGAATAAGATACAAGTATACTTTCCCTGCTGAAACTATATGCCGCTTTTCATGGAATGGCACTTAGGTGTCACATTGAAGGTTCCATGATAACCGCCATATGAACACATCTGCGGATGTTTAAAAATTATAAATTGTACCATTTCATGTTTAAATGTTGAACTCTGCTTAAGCCTGTGCTAGTGGGCGTGGACGGTAATTTGCACTTTCCAGTACCGTCCATCAACAGGCTCAATCAAACCGAGCCTGCAACATTTTACAATTTTGACGTATTGGGCTTTCTTTAGGGATTCTAATTTCTCTCTATTTTGCCAAGAATTAAAAATAATCGTAACGTAGACTTTAAATTCATTAATAAACATTAAATGCAAAATGAAATGAATGTAATGTGTGACCAATTAAAATAATTGATTATATAAGTATTTCATTTGTAATATGCAGTTCTTCCCTTAATAGATTCATATGCTATACATGTACACCATAAACATCAAAATTTATAAAGATTATATTATTGTGTGCTGTTATTGTTGTAATATATATACACGTATTTCCAAAGGTAGATTCACTATAGAGTACTAACAACAAATTAATTAAACAATAAAATAAATGCACACCAAATTAGTATCAAAGGTTCGAAAATCACTAGATATTTTATTACCATTAAATAAAAAATAATAAATTATATAAAACAATATATTGAATCAAAACATCAAAATCTTGCATTCGGACGATATCAAGCAAGATAATGACCTAGCTAAGTTATTAGCTAACACAACTTGACCTTTGATCCCAAATAATGTCCTTTGCTTTGAAGATGCAGACATGCATTAGAGGGATCTTACCTTAATATCTTTCATAAAGGCTGGTTACATAACGTTTATTCTGTATGCTTTCGGCAAGAAACAATATTTACTATTTTTATGTTTTCAGTTGTTAATGGTGCAGAAGACTCAGAAAACAAACGCCAAAATAACCAGTTGTGTCAAAGAACGAAGGACGAATCATTATCTCCCAGGGATTTAGGCAAGGGTTTAAGAAACAGGAATCGTTATTTATCATTTGTTGCTGTAAACACAGTTCTTTAAATTAGACGCGAAAAATGATTATGATAGAATTCTGCATAAATGAATGTGTGTATTTGTCAAAGAATAATATGTGTCCGATCAAACTGTGTTATTGTTTGCCGAGCAAGTTAAGCTGATGTGTTGCACTCAAAGAACAGGTTTGTAGATTTAAAGGGTAAGCTTCAGAAAGTGCATTGATAGCCGTGTTTTGTGAATCATACCTGAATTCATTTGTATTAATTTTGTAAACATAATGACACGATGTCGCGGGCAAAACTTAGGTCTGCAACTCAAAGGCCAAGTATATACTTTTATGCCAAAAGTCGTGTTATGTATTTACTTACAAATGCATAATTTGTCACGATCGGTCAATTTATAGCCTTTAGGTCAAGGTCAAACTTGCACGCTAACGTCAATATTTGGTCGTGTCCAGTCATTCATTTATGAGTTTTGAAATATCACGAATACTGTTTAGCACATCAAGTTGATATGTTTCACACAAAAACAACAAGTAACTTAAAAAAGAACGGTTTTGCACATTCAAACTACGTGTCTGGCACAAAAATTATCTCCAGCTGCCCTTAGCTCAAATGTCAAGGTCACACTAAAATTATTATATTTATATGTTCATTTTTGTAAGACTGTAAGATATGTGGTGATAATGCATGTAATGTGAAGATAAAGTCAAACTTAAAATTGAACATAATGCATCTTCAAAGTTAAAAAATTGTGGTGTCTGATCATCAATTCTGTCATTCTGACATTCAGTTATGAATTTTAATATAACTTGGCATAAATATTCAGTTGTAGATTTTAAAATAACTTCACTGTTAACCAGTAACAACATGCAAGTAGATAAAGGTGAATATCATACTTTGCCGTTATAGGCAATATTTCATAAAAGTACTTTGATGGTCGTGTCCGGTAATCAGTTCCTCCATACATTCTTGGAAAGTGAAACAGCCAGGAATCAATTTGTGGCACATTTATAACTTGTAATTCGCAAATGCTAGTTATATACAACAGCTAGAAAGATCAACGTTAAATATGCTTTCAAAAAAAGAGCACCGGTCATATCATTTTTCATTTATTCGTGATTGTGCTTTTGATGATATATATATACTTTGAAATGATTGAATACGAGACAATAAAAGTAAAGGTCTTTTCTTTCATGAAAAGACTTTGAACAAAATAAAAAATAAAAATTAAAAATTCCCAGTGCTTTTTAACATTATCGGATAGTGTCTATTATTTTTTTTCAAATAATAATTATGATGTGACATTTTTGAAATTTATTTTATTTGAACTCTATTTGATTTATCTCTATTTTTCAGGTGCCCCTGGATTTGAAATAGACTGGACACAAATTTTCTTACAACTATCAAAATCGTTAACTCCAACACGCTGGGAATTATTTGCATATCAATTACTCAGTAAGTCAGTTAAAATTACGTTTAATTCAAAAATAGCATAATCTAACGCTTTAATATCCGTGTAAATCATTCTATGAAATATTATTTTCCTTGTACTATAATTAGATTGCTTTGTTGGTGATTGTCTATAAGTTTTCAGTTATCTTAATACAGGGAAAATAATAGAAATTCCTAAGAGTATTTCGTTTTAAAAGTGTTCAGAAATATAGTAAATGCTGAAATATGTTTTATATTCGTCTGTAGACAATTGTCAGAATATGGCTAGAAGCGTTCATGATACAGTTGCTGAAATTGATCTTGAAGCAAAGAATAAGCATACTGAAGGTTGGGTCATTCACGCTTATATTAAAGTATTCAATAAATGGCTTGACAATGTAGGCAGGACAAATGCAACCTTTGAACATATTAAAGATGCTGTTTCTGCAACAATAGAGGCAAAAGAAGCTTCAGACCTAGTTCTATATATCGAAAGGTTTGATTTGTTTTGCTTAAATATATCAGTTTTATCAGAATAAATGTTAAAATATGTGTATCAGATTACAAAAAAATAAGGTATTAATTAGTATTATTTTGAATTATATTGAATTTAATTTGAATGGATTTTTGTTTCAAACGAAATTTATTGAACAAATTCAATTTGATAAAATTGAAATATGCGTGTCTGTGGTGGCCTTAGTATGTAAATATCACACCAAATAGTCATTTCAGCTTCGGCAACGGTTTGACTGACATTGCTGCCTTGTACTATAACCATCAGTGGAATGTAATGTTACTTTTATTATACCTGTCGGATAGGGTACTATAATATGATAAAAATGTACTTCACGTTGTGTCTGGTTTATACGTCTATTTAAACTACTAACGTTTAACTACAAAACATAGGAAGTGACGTACTCTAATGTCACGCTTACGTTGGCGTCATTTAACGGCGCATGCATATGAGCGCAATTCCCGACAATACCAAACAAATTAAAAGTCAATTAAAAGACGCCTTAAACATAATAATTTATAACTTAAACTCGGCACTGGCATACCGTATTACCGTTTAGAAATGTCAGCGGGTAAAGTGATGTCGCACTTTTACATATTAGATTTTTAGACTATATTATCTTATAAGGCATGGCAATATATTGAATAAATAACGTGAGGTTTAATTGTATGTGAAATTCAAGGCCAATCAGTTTAGTAATGAAGTTTTACGAAGGTAAAGTTTTATTTGCCACATACTAAAAAAATATGAACTGTTTACAGAACAAAAACTGTAACACTAGATTCAGAACGGCTTTCCAGCACATATGACGTCATGCTAAAGATATGCGCGTTTTACGGAGTCGTAAAAGTTGTTTATCATATTTCATTTTATGCTTTTCAGTGGATTACTGATTTATCCGTGAAAATTATATTTGATAATTTCACAGTGAAAATTATCAAAATATAATTTCACACTTTTCAATGACGAAACTACTTTTTTAAGATTTTCCCCATGTGGTACCTCAATTTTATTTTTGCTGACCATTCCGTCAATATCAGGCTGTTTAAAGAAAAGCAAAGCTGAAATTGATAAATAACTTATATGTCAAAAGTAATAAAAAGAAAAAAAACTTACAGTAAGTTACTTCTATTCATTAAAATAACTAATCACCAAATATCGTCTCTTTAGTTTTTTGTTTCATTTTTACAGTCTGAAAAATACATTCCTTCCACATGCAAAACTGCTCTTGATGACATTTGGGCATATTAAAGTATCCTACGAGCAAAAACTGCAGTATGCTTTATGAAAACTTGAAAAGCAATGGCAGCTTTCAGTCGAAGAATATGTAAAACAACCCAGCGTTTGAAGGCTTCCAAGTTTTCCCATTTCCTATCCGCTCTTTTGAATGTTTACACATGTGTCAACACTTATTTATTGTCTGTTACAATCCTCATATAAGTTTTCTTTCTTTTAAAAAGGTTTATGACTAACAAATCCAAATGATATCCCTCTGAATCAAACACAATTATTTTCCTCCAGTGAAATACACAACTTTAAAAATGGCGGCCGCTTACATTTAACATAACCAGGTCTATTATAAATTCGCAGTCAGTAACAGAAATATGGATGGATGGTTGGACTTTTTCTCCTACTAGAATTGTTTGTTTTTATTATTTAAACATGCGATCAGACATAGTTTTTTAATAAAATGAATACTATCACCACCATTTAACGTTGATCGTGGAACTTATTTTTCAGCCCATGACTTCTTGTATTTAATGAGAAATTCGACTTTTTTGAGGCTCTAAATGGGGAAACAGATTTTAATATTAACGTAAATATTAAGGAAATTTCGTTTTAACTTGTTTTTAAGCATGAAATAAAAAGAAAATTTGTTTGCTTGTTGTGTAAGATGTAATTTTATTTCAACTCGTGAACTTTAAAAACAGCTACGCCACTCGTGAGAATACTGTTTTTAAAGCCCACTCGATGAAATAAAATTTCATCTTACACACAAACAAACAAATATCCTCTATATCGTACTTTTTGGTAACAAAGGTTTGAAGATGAAATGTTTACTCAAAACTACCAGATTTAAAGCAAAAGGCGATGAAAAATGGAATATGAGTTAGTTTTTGACACATTATATAATATGTAAGGCAAACTTAATCATTAGAGTTTAATTTAGCACCTAAAACTCACTTTTTAAAGATGAAAATTATCATTTTTGACGAGTGTTTTTGCAGTACATACAATAGTTTTCTTGAAACTCCGTGACATTTATCACAAGAACTCCTTGACAAGTTATCATAAGAACTCCATCCCTCGTGTAACACTTCCTCCCCCGTGAACATGAAATGCTCCCGGTTGCGGCATTCAGTATGATGGGCAAACAGAACGTTTTCTTAAAATTAGATTCCGAGAACACTTCTATAAAATTAGAAACCGTAGCAATTTACTACTCTTTTATATCAACACTTTTGAAAAGTTTGCCATTCCTTTAAACATGTAGCAATTCAGCAAGTGGAACAGATTACTTACGATTCTGATGCATAGTCTAGTTTTAAATAAAAGCCAGACACATGGCTGAATTGAAATGGATTGAAAATTTACAAACCCCTTTTCCGCTTGGCCTTAACGACAATATTTTTTAACAAGGTAATATTTCTAAAGATCCCAGGATGGACATTTTTTTCTATTCTTAACATACGGAAGCGGAAATCTCGATCACTTGGAATAAGTAAAAATGGTAACACCAAACGTAAATCAAAAATTACTATGTCTGTTTCCGATTTTAATAACATCTTGACAAATTCGGTGGACATGCTATGTTATCACGTCTAACCTCCCTTTCTTTTCGGTCTCAAAGAAGCTGATAACATAGATATCCAAACTGACCCTTTATATAAACTGCAGCCTACCTTTTACAAAATTTTACACAGCATATTTTAAGACTTCATATCATTACCACCGCTGAACATGACACACACTTTCTCAAAATTAATTTTCTAAACAAAGGTATTGATTTCATCGATTTACCTAATATTTTTCGTGATAAACGCGTTAACGATTCGATTCCAAAATATTTCACAAATTCTGAGATTCAAATTATTTGTACGCCTGTCAGAAATATCATATTCAATTAAAACAAAATTGTCTCAGACCTAAACGTTCAGTGTAATATACCAACTAGTTGAGACTGCAAAAATTCAAAATAAACGACAAGAGAATCCGTTATTTATTTCTTAAAGAACCAAAATATAGAATTCCTTCAGATATTGATTTTTAATGCTTGTCGAAGTCAGTTAGCTGAATCGATCGAGGACTTTTCGAATCCCGACAGGGACTTTGAACTCTTTCATGTGAGGAAGCTATCCAACTAGCTTACGGAACGTCGGTGGTTCTACTCAGGTGCCCGTTCGTGCCTGAAATAATGCACGGAGGGGCACCTGAGGTCTTCCTCCACCAGTAAAGCTGGAACGTCGCGATATGACATATACTGTGTCGATGTGACGTAAAACCCAAAAACAAACAATTTACAAAATGAACTTAACAGCACTAATACTATTTCTAAAACCGTTCTTTCTGAAAGAGATATTGTGAGCAGTCATATTTCTAGTATTTCTGACTTTAAAGTATTTGTAAATGAGAAAGAGCTGAACCTACCTGTCATATCCTGGATTCCAAAATTACATAAACATCCATGTAGGCCCGCTTCATTGCTAATTCAACATCTTGTACTACTAGTTATCGTTCTATTTTATTTACTTTTTGTCTAACTGCCATCAAGGTAAATGTCATGTGAAACAGTTTATGAATATACGGGTTAAAATCTTTTTTGGTCTGTTAAAAATTCAACTGAAATTTTAGATAAGTTTAAAGTTAAGAATTATCATGTTTCATCTGTAAGTACTTACAATTTCTCTACCCTATATACCTCGTACAACCTTGCCACATAATCTTATAAATGATAAATTATTATCTTTAATTCATAAAACATTTGCAAGAGAACAGGTCACGTTTCTTGCTTGCAATTCAAAGAAGGCTTTCTTTACCAATGGTATCATTAAACAATAATTAATGTGGACCTGTGGCGAAGTTTATAAAGCACTTTCGTTTTTATTAGATAACAGGTATGTCAGGTTTGGTAATACAATTTTCAAACAGATAATGGCATTCCAATCGGAACTTTTTGTGCACCCCTGATAGCTGATTATTTCTTTACTGCTATGAGAGGGATTTTATGCTAAGTCTTTCCCCTAGGTCACATCGGGAAATTATTAAAGCATTTAACAACACTTCCCAATACCTAGATGATAGCCTTAACATGAATCATCCTTATTTCGATCAATTGGTTTCTAAAATATATCCCAGTGAACTTATATGAATAATACTAACCTGCAGACGTTATTACATCTTTTTTCCATTTAAACGTTTCTATTATTAACAATACTATAGTAACTAAAATTTACGATAAAAGAGATAATTTTGATTTTAATATTGTTAACTATCCACATTTAGATGGAGATGTACCTCATGATATATCAGATGGGGTGCATTTTTCTCAATTAATTAGATTTGCTAGGGAGTGCAGTCGTGCTGATGATTTTAATGAACGCAATTTATTTATTGCAAACAAATTTCTTAAACAAGGTTATCGCTATCATAAATTGCGTAAATATTTTACTAAGTTTTACCATCGTAATTCAGATTTAGTTTAAAGATTTAATTGTAATTTAAAAACTCGTTTACGACTAGATATTAGCAAACTTAATTTCTATGGAGATGTGGTTTACAAACTGTGTAGGATCATGGATCATAGTTATTTTTGTGCCGTCTTTTCTAAAATATTAAAAGAGGTTATGACCCAATTATTTTAAGGCATTAATTTTAAGGGATTAATTTTATTTACACTTTCCTGTCATTCAGGAACATATTGGGGCTAAGAGTGAGGTTTGCAGAGCCTAAAACCGGTTTAAACACCCCAGTGGTTTAACTAC